GCGGGGCGGGGCCTGTTCCGCCGGCCGGGCCGGGCCGGGCCCCGCCCCCATCGCCATCGCCGGATGCCGGGGCCAGTCGCGCTCAGCCCCGCCCCCTCACCTGCATCCGTGCGTGCGTGCGCGCGCGCGCGTGTGTGCAGATACAGGAGTGAATGGAACGAATTACACACACACACACACACACACACACACACACCTTAGGTTCGCACATTCATGCCTCTATCCACACATACACATAACATACACACACATTCATATCTGTCCATCCCTCCAGTTACACTCTGGTCTGAAAGCAGGTACTCAAGTGAAATATACAGGTGTGGGTATGTGCACCCATTTGTGTAATATCCTGGTCTACACGCGTACCCTGGTATGGATACACATGAACACCTGTGCATGCACATGTGGACACACACGAGTGGGAAAGATATATCTATATCTATCTCCATCCCTCCCACTCACGGATATACATACCTGTAAGACAAGGCTATGCACAAGTGCATGGACATACACACACATATATTTTGCAGTAGTTTAGTACTTCTGTTTTCAGGACAGGCCGCAAATAGACAAGGCAGAGCCCAGAACATAATCCCTCTATCCAGTCCGTCATTTCTGTTTTGAGCTATAGTGGTTTTTAAAACTAAAATGGGCATAATTCTATAAAATGTGCAGGCGATACACATTATCAACCCTGCACTTGCAGGAAGATGGACTAAGTATCTAAGAGGCCATCTATAATGACTGGGCTATTCAACTATGAGCAGAGACAGGTAGTTACTAGCTGTGTTAGCCTGAAGTGAGTCAGAAGGGTCCATAGATATGCACCTTTATAGACTAAATACAGGCTTCCCTCGCTTTATGCTGTACATGCGTTCCTGGAAAACGGTGCATAACTCAAATTTCCATAAAGGGAACCCACTTTACAATGTAACAAATAGGGATACTTTCCAAGACCTCGACTGTACTGACCCCCAGACCCATTTCTACACTTTAACAAGACAATTTTGGTACTCTCCAACAGCAGACAGTACACACAAACACAGGGCACTTGGAAACACGTGTCGCAGACAACAAGCGAGGAGCGCAGATCCACACAGGATTTTAGTGCATGTCCCTCCCACAATGCACCACACAAAGCAGCTGACAGCGGGCTTCTATCACACCAAGAGTGAATTTATCTAGAATATAATGAATTTTTGGTATAAAAAGGGTCATCGCATAAGAGTGAATTCGCACATACAGAATCTGCATAAAGCGAGTGCATATAGCAAGCACAAGAAGCCCCTGATGAAGTGAATTTGGAGTCATGAAAGCTGGTGTGCCCTCTCTCTCTCTCTGTATATTATTTTCTTTAAAGATGCATATCTATCCTGCCTTCTGTTCAACTACAGCACCTTCACCTGTGACAAGGAATATTACATGCCAAAAAGCACAACAGAGCCTATCCTGACACTCTTTTAGATTGGTTTAATTAAAGTGCCCCAAGTACATATGCTTTTATATTTCACAATATAATCTTACAGCATAGTAATGAGCAATAATGCAGAATACAGATTTTTGTACTGTATCTGATGGTATACTAAAGTTGGGTACAATTAGCACAAAACAACAAGCTAAGTAATGCTTTACCCTTTGAATAATTATGTATGCTTTTGCTCAGAAGACGCTGTGCCATATTTATTTCAATAGACTCCTGTGGTTCTAATGGCAGCCAAAGATCTGCAAATACATACATTCACAATAAAAATGATTGCAGACTATTTTAGACATTTGAACAGATCAGTTCATTTGGTTCAGACATGTTTAGGTCAACACTAGTCTTTGATTTCTTTCTGGTAAGCTTTGCCCCAGATTTCAGGTACTTGTCCTTACTGTGTATGACCTGAATGTATTGATCATTACTGCTGTTTTGTTGGTCACTGCTAGAGCCAACGGAAATGGAATCCGACTCGGTTAGAGAGTGCTCAAGCTTGTGCTTGGATTTAGGTTTCACATGATGCTCTGGATAGTGCTTATCAAGTTCAACGTTTTTTGTGTGTGGCTTTTTGTAGGAGTGTGGGGGCTGTTCTAGCTCTAGCTCAAAGCCGTCATCCCAGGACTTGTAATGCACTTTGGAGAGATCCTTGCTAGTAAGAATTTGACTGTCAGCACGTTCCCCAATGTAAAATCGGGGAGCTGCACGGAGATCTGAGAGTGAACGTGGACGGTGGGATCTGTTTACCAAGTCCCTCCTTAATTCCTCCTCTTCTTCCTCCTCTTCACTGAAGTGAGGGGAATATGTCCTGCGTGGTGTTCGAACCACGTATCTTCTGACATTTCTTGGATATAGCTCAATTATGTCTCCTGACTCATCCATTCGGAAATGCCTTGGCAGCCGGGATGTGGAACGGAGAAGTTTTTTGCGGGATTCATGTTCATTAACAATAAAATACCTGGTGGTGTGCGCTCTGTGTCCAACAAACACTGGAGCCCCCGCCCCAACAGCATCTGGATTTATCTGTCGGATGCCTTTTCTAAAGAGAGGCTCAGAGTGAACGTCTTCAACGTGCTTTTTGAAAGCCACAGGAGTGTAGGGCTTTGTTTTACAGAGATCGCTTGCACTGCCATGTACAACACTTGAATACCTGGCAGGATAAAAAATGAAAAAAGGAAATTTGGCATAAGTCCTTATTTCTCATATTATGATTAAAGCAGAAAATGATTGCACTGGAATCAGGGCCTATCTGGCACTCTTGCTGGTAGCATTTGAACATTTCAAAAACCATTTGCCCCATTATATCCCAGTGATATAGGAAAATATCCTGCTCATTTTTAAAAAAAGATGGTGTAGAAAAATAAGGCAGAAGTTTAAGTTCAGGTTGTGAACCACTTACTCAGAATACTCTTACTAAAAGTGTGAATAATTGGCTCAATAATCAGCTCATCCAGTGTGAATAATGGGCTCACAATATAACCAACACTAGAGAAATATTCTGTGTCAGAGCCAGAAACCACCACAAAGCTATCCCAAATACATAACTGTATATATGGAGATCAATAAATGTTCCTCAGAGAATTCCTAGCTTTTATTATATCTGGCACATTGAAAAGGATGTCCTATCCACATTATTAGTAATAGAGTGCAATTTGGAAAGTTTTATCTTTCTGCTTTAACTGTGCACATGAACTCATGAATCCACCTAAACATATTATAATTCAAATGTAGTTTTCTGAGACAGTGAGGTAATTAAGGTGATCTCTACCATTTTGCTGTAGCCTGAACAGTTCTCACAAGAGAATCTTTTAAAAAATGACTCTGCTAATGTATTACTAGCAGCAGTTAGTTCCAATACACCTATTTTGCTTCACTAAATTATTTTATTTCAGAATTAAAAGAGACTGCCTTACCGATTTGCAGCCTGCTCAGCTCTGGGTTTCTGTACACTGGGAACAGTGGGAGTTGGAGTTAAAGGGGTCGAAGTTGCTTGAGTAATATTTGCTGGCCTAGCAACATCAGCTTGCAGTACAGATTGTGAGATGGTTTGTATTCTGCTGCCTTTGTTCACTGGGGATTCAAAATTCAAGACACTGCCGTTCTTTCGAGGTGTTGATGACCGAACTGAAGATTCCTGACTGATGACATCACTCTCCTGGTCTGGCCTTTTGTCATTTCCCTCTAGATTCTGGATTCTGGCTAGAAAAAGCAGTGAAGGACTGTTACAAGGGCCATCAGACCTTTCACAATTAAAACTGGTTTAAAAACAGTGGCTCAGTTACAGCCTGCCAGCAAATGGGTACAACACCTCTAAGCAGGCTCAGGTTCCAATCCTTGCTCAAAAGTCTTCTTAATATAAAATACCTGTACGTTTATTGGAGCAAGGCTTGCAACACAGGTGTCCACTTTCCTAGAGCACTGCCCTAAACTAAAGAGTTATGCTTAGTCTTGTTCTCCCTTTTGCTCACCCACTCAATCTTTCATTATTCCATACAATGTGGAATAGCTTCAAGAGTAGGAATGAAAGTGGCCCTCCCAAGCCCCCCTCCAGCATGATTATTAGCTCATTTATTTGTAAGTCATGAGAGAGACAGGTTCAAACCTTCTCAGGCAGGGGAGGGAATTGGACTTGAGTCTCCTGCATTAGTATTGTAACCACAGAAGGAGACACCATCATTTCCTCAGCTCACCTTCACCATGTTCTTTGAAGAGCCTGATGTCCAGTTACACTCTAGGAATATCTGCTAGATCATGCCTTGCAGATGAGATAGGTGGAGGAACACCTAGCTTATAAATTTTGATGTGGCTTAGGTGTGGGCTATGCACCTAGGTCTCAGTACTATCCAAATGTAGGCATGTCCAGAAGCCAACCTATAGGCACCCAGAGGATCTTAATACTGGAAACTATGGACTTCAAGTGATTGCTTTAAAAGGCAACTAAATTGGGTTATGAGGTTCAAATCTTCAACCCTAGGGCACCTATACATATCCCCAATGCCTGCTCTGCTGCATTCTAATTAGAACTTGTCAGAGCAGACACGATTGATTCAGTCTGCTGGAGCATCTTAATTAGAATGGTCCAGCAGCCGCAGCATCATGTGCATTCATTGTCCTGCATTTCGAAATGGTGGCAGGGCGCTTTGACTAAAGCTCGTTGAGCGAGCTTCAGTTAAAGTACCCCCACCACCATTGTGAAGTGTGGGATGCTGAATACATGAGATGCTGTGAGCATTTTAATTAAAGCAACTCTATTTACAATGCCCCCCTCCTTCACCCCAAAGCATGTGTAAAGATGCCCTAAGTGCCTAAATCCTGCCCATGTCCTTTTGTGAATGTAGCACATAGAGCCTTCCAAAAGATCTACATCTCACTTATTGTTACCTATAAAATATATAGGAATGTCCTCACAGCATAAAATCTATATTATTAACGTTGATATAATGCTAAAACTGGAATTATACAACAAAAAACCATTTTGCCTATTGCACATAAGATGACTAAAAGACTATATATAAGTGATCAAAAACTTTTTAAATATTTGTATTTATCAAAGATCACCAACTTACCTACTGCCATTTGAACCACCTTTTTCTTGTCTTCAGTTCTCTCCTAAAGTGTGTGTGTGTGTAAATATATAAATAGGAGGATAAATAACTAGCAGTTTGTTATGCATTAGAAAGCAAACAAATTATCAAATATGAAGATAGGATTTGTGTCATGTCATAAAACATGGCAATCATGGACTCATAGAAAATTAAGGTTGGAAGGGACCTCAGGAGGTCATCTAATCCAACCCCCTGCTCAAAGCAGGGCTATCTCCAACTATCTACGGCTTTGTCTAGCTGGGCCTTAAACCCCCCCAAGGATGGAGATTCCACAGCCTCTCTGGGTAGCCTGTTTCAGTGCTTTCCTACCCTCCTTGTGAGAAAGTTCATCTTAATATCTAACCTAAATTTTCCTTGCTGCAACCTGAGACCCATTGCTCCTTGTTCTGTCATCTGCCACCACTGAGAATCATCTAGCTCCAGGTAGTTGAAGGCTACTATTAAATTCTCTCTCAGCCTTCTCTTCTCCAGGCTAAATCAACTTTAACATTTTAATCAAAGTTAGTACTTTGCTGAAAAACCACCAGCTAGAACACAATAAATGCTTTCAGTCAGTACTTACAGTTTGGATCTGCAATCTCAGTTGATTGTTGGTGAATTTTAATGACCTTGCAATACTCTGAAGGTAATAAATTAGCATGCTGGAAGAGAGGAACAGTAAATTGTCATGAATCACACTGGAAACATTTCTAGAAGTTTCTTATCAGAAGGTCTCAGAGATTATATAAATGGAAGGAGATTTAAATTAATTTCCAGGTTTTTATTTGCACTGGGGCAGGGATCTACAGCTGTTTTTTGATGGTGAAACCAACTTAATCAAATCAGTGGAGTTCCACTGCATAGCAGAGAGGTGACATTAAACACTTTCCAGGATGGTAAATTGTACCTACACTGGTTTCATTTGTGCCTCCATTTGGTATAGGAAAAAAACCCTCTCTCCTGTGTATTTAATATACCCAAGGCAGATGGCTTTTTCTGCTTCACACCAGCTGAGAATCTGGCTCTGCATTTTCAGTATTGCACAAAGAGGCTAAATCAGGCAAATTGAGACATTATTCTGTCTTCTCTTTCAACATCTGTAACTTAATTCTTGTTGCGGATGTAGGTAAATTAGAGCTGCTTGGAGTTAAGCTAAACATAAAAAATATTAAGGCTATGTATCATAGACAGTACAACACAGAATGATATGGCGCTAATGCACATCTTGAAGGGTAATGCATATTGAAAAGAGATGTCACCAGGGCACAACAAACTTTAGTATGTTTTGTGACTATTTGCTATACCTCAGTTTACCTTTTTGGTATTATCCTGTCACCCTGGGCAGAGTTAAACGAAGGAAGATTATTAGATAGAAACAAAACACTGACCAAGATAGGGTATCATCAGAAACAATGGCAAGGATCCTCAAGGGAACAATGGAGGATGCTATTCATTGGGAAATGCTTGGCTCAGTCCAAGGCTGGGAGCTAGGATCAAAGAGGTACTCAATCATTTTAAAGACCCCAGTATAAGTGAGGAAGGGGTGAGCAGGCTGCAGGAAAGGTAAGAGAGATCCTTAAGGGATGCTGAAGGGGTTTTCTATCTCCTTCAGTCAAGGAATAGGGATGCCTGGGATAGGTGGAACTACCTTATGAATTGCAAGGAAAGGATAAAGCTTACATAAGACTCTGGCATGTTATTGTCTTGTTATTTTATCCTCTTTCTTTTCTATGTGCCCTTAGGTGAAATAATGTTGTGGTTGTGTTTTTTTAAGAACTTTTTTGAGTCACTTTCCTCATCAGTGATCAAAGGGTCCTGAAGCCAACCTCAGTGCCAGCCTCAGTTGGGCCAGTGTTGTTAACATGCTAAACAGCATGGTTGCTGCCCAGCTATCCAGCAAAAAAAATAAAAATAAAAATGGTAGGTTTCCTTGGCTTTACCAAGAGAAGGATGAGGGTAGCAAAAACTAATTGCCAGTGGATGACAAAGGAAAGGCCTATAACTGTTTTCCTTTCCTGACAGATTACTTGTAATAATCGTGCCGCTTTGAACTCTAGTGGTTTATAACTGGTTTCCTCTGCCCAAAGCCATTTTGTAGTTACTAGGCTTCTTGCTCTTAGTAGTGAAAATCAGAGGTTCATTGAAATCCATGGGTCACAGCAATGCAAAGGATAGCAAAATTAGGCACACAGGATCTACTGTACATTCATACTTTAAATGTACATTAGGCAGTAAAGATAGGATGCTTTGTTACTTTGATCTCTCCACTCCTCCTAACCCCAGCCTCCAGACCAAGGACACTGGCAATAGACACCAATGCTACATTGTAATCCTCATGGTTAGTCTAATGTACCTACATTCATTTCAGTAGAGTAACAGCTGGACTGTGTTTGTATGATATGGAATAAATTACATTTAATATCATTAGCCAGATACAGACATTACATTTTTACCAGTAAAAGTGATCAGAAACTGGTCTGTTCCCATAACAGAACAGAAGTTTGACACATAAACCAGTCTATAAAGCTGCAACAGAACAGAAGTTCAGCACACACAGACTGGTTTAAAAATGTTGGAACCTAGTCTAAGATTTGTCCCCTACTAAAGAGCGAATGTATATTTTGTTTGCTACTGATCTAAACTTCCCCACTTACAGAAAACAGATCATTTAGATCAATTCCACCTCAGGCTTTTTGAATGTCTGTACCTAGCCATGTTTACTAACAGTGATCTCAAATGTTAATTATAGGGCCCTGATCCTTCAGATACTTCGTGTTTATATTTAAACTCATGCTTAACACCTGGTCAATTAAGTTACTCAAATACTTCAAGTTAGCTATGTATGATTTTACAGGATTAACACCTTAAGAGAAAAATGCAACAAATAAATATTTGCTTGGCTCCTTTTGATTAGTAAGGCCTGTAGAAAGATTTGAATATTGGACTGAATTCTTTAGCGACTTTGTGACATAGAATCCTATTTACATCAGAAAGATCTGTATCCAAAGAATTCAAAGCTGAGAGAAGATATGATAATTTACTTAGGAAATGGGGTGGAAAAAACATCCAGTGGAGAGTCTGCAGAAAACTATATTAAATTAACACTTGAGCACAAGCCTTGGTAATTGATTTATCATGTCAGTAATCAGGATGATTAGGTAGCTTTCTGAAACAGGTTGAATTCTGTTTGCAGTCACATAGTGAACTACTGACAGACCAGGAAGGGAAGTCTGGTTGCTGAGTAGTTTCTGAGGGAGAAAAAGGAGGCTTGAAAGCTCCTGGAAGGCCAAAATTTGACACTGTGTAGTAAGTTTGCTATTACAAACCAGGAAAGCAAACCCAGCTTCTGGGCGGTTGGCAAATGATTTTTAATTATATTAGGTTTGTCCCAGGCACTTAACTATCCCTGTTGGTATCTGGTAGATTCCTCATGCCAAATTTTACTCCTTAAATTAAAGACTGATAAAGACTGGCTCCTGTGAGACTGAAGATGAAACGACCATATTATGCCATTCATTTTTAAAGTGATACTATTCCAATTAAACCAACTGAGGGAGGAGGTGTTGCTTTTAAAATTTAATAGAATGCTTTCAACATGCTCCTACTCCCATCAGACTCTTACTCCATACAAGCAATTAGATTTCTCAGACTTAATGTATAAAACAACTGCCCCCAAATATTTTTTCACCACACTTAAAATTTGACTAATCATGAGTGGGTAGAGCACTAATAAGAATCATCACGATAGATGGTAAAGTACTTACAACAGGAGTAATAATGCAGGGAGAACAACTACAGGACTGCTGACGTAAGTAAGCACTGCATTGAACCATGCAGGAAAATCACTTTTAATTGTTTCAGACACAATATCATATATTTTTTCTTGTCCACTAAGGGAGAAAAAAGTTAAATTGAACATAAGCAAATTCTCAGCGTGTATCATTTGAAATGAACATTACATTTAATGAACAACAAAATTAATGGAAGACTATACAGGATGAATACAGCCTCTATTGAACTCAATGGTAGAAATTACTAGGGTGAAGGTGTCTGGGTTTTTATTCTTAGAATGTGACCTGAATTTTCACAAGTTATCACCCATTTATAGGTGCCTTCCTTGAGACTCCTTGTTCTTGATGTTCACAGATACTTTGATTTGTAATATACAGCACTGTTACATTACATGATGCAACCATATGACAACTGAATTACACAGGTAACATCAATATTTCTGCAGTGGTTAAACAGAGGAGCAGACTGGATTCAGAAACTCCATTATAGTAATATAGTTCATTGTGGAATGGGAGCATTTTAATCTGAGTATGATATTATATGAATACACTTACGAACCTCTGTTTATTGGTAATTCAGGACTATATGCATAGAAGCCAACACATTTATTGAGGCAAAGGAAATTAAATTACTGAAGTTTTTATTATTTCAGTCTAACTTACCTAAATGGACCACAGCTTAAAGATGGCTTATATCTGGCAATAGCAAAAATTGTTGGTAACATGCATAGGAACAACATAAACAGCAACATAGCTAAGTAGAAGTTGTTGGATCTGAAAGAAGGCATAACATATGTCATGTATTGATTATACAGTCAACCAAAGGAAACATGAAAGATAGAAGTCTATGGCAACCTGATAAGTGCAAGATCTATGCTCTAAAAAAATCAAAATTGCTCTCTGTTATAATCAGGAACTCGGTATGCACTAGCTCTGTGCAGACTCCTAACGATCCAAATTCTATTTGCTTTGCTCTCCAGCTGACCCTAATACAGTCAGAAAACCTATTTCAGTATCGCTCTACAGAAACTGAGGTGGTTTCAAAGTTCTATTTCAAGAAAATATAAAAGTCAAATTTTTGGTCTTTAAGAATATATTATTTTAACATGTTATAGCACATTATTCTGATTATTATTATTAACAAAATAATCTTTAATTATACACATTTTGACAAAAAATGTGGCATTTAGGAGAAAAGACTTATGTGAGACAAAGTATACAGGCTAATACTTCTTTGTATTCAAAGAAACAAATATTAAAGTCATAAATTTGCAAGCACTTATGTAAGTAATCTCATGGGACAACACATGTGTGGAAAGTTAAGCATTTGCATCAGGTCTTACCTACACTAGAAGCATTTCCCAGTAGGATAACAGTTGGTGAGTGGGAGCAATTCTTGTTGGCAGTATTTCTATACCCAAAAAGCCCTAGTGTAGGTGGCAGCGTTCTGGCATAAAAGGGTTTTGATGGTACAGATTATTAAATTGATGGAACTGGCATAAACTTGTCATAGCCTAATAAAATTCTCTTCCTGATACTCACTAAACTGCTGTGGTTGGGTTTCACCATGCTGTGCCTCTGTGCTCAAAACCCGTGATTCTCAGTGAGGTGCAGCAGCACCCTGGGGTGCCTGAGATCCTTTCAAGGATGCCACAGGGTGTCACAATGGTAGAACCGTGAGGTGTGTAAACTTTCTGAATAAGTTCAATTTAAATAATTTCTCTAAAATCTTTGTTATCTAAATAAGTATCATCTAAGTAAGTTCTCTACCAATTCATCCATTACTTACTTACCAAACTGCCTGGACACACTTTTTTTCTGGGTGTTACCAAACTCTCTTGTCTAAATGTGCTTCCCTATGACCATAGGACCATTATAAGATTAATTGTTAGCCCTATATGAATACCTCTTGGAATTTTGGTCCAAGGTAGAAAGATATCCAGGGGTCTAAAAAACCTGAAGTTTAAAAAAGTGGAGCCACGCCCTGAAGGACACTGGAGGCTGGGTCCTCCAGGGAGATGCTCTGGCTGCCAGCGTGTCTCCGAGGTTGGCCCCTCGCCCTGGTGCTGAAGCAGCATGCTTCAGCGGGCAGAGGGACAGCCCCAGCGGCCCCAGTCCGGGCCCTCCTGCCCTGTGCTGCCCGGGGGAGCCCCCCGCCAACCCTGCTCCTGGGGTAAGTAGAGGCTTTTTTTTCTGTTTTTTTCTGGGTTTTTTATTTTTGTTTTTTGTTTTAAGTGCTGTTGCCTGGGGTTGGGGGGGCCAGCCATGGGGGCCTGCGGGTGTATGTGAGAGGTGGGGCCAGGCAGGGCTGTTGGGGAGCCGTAACCCCTGTGTGGCTGTAGCCCCCCAACAGCCAGTGCTTTAACACTGTAGGTATATCAAAACATTGCCCAACTGTTCACTGTCTCTGTCTCTCACTCATTCTCTCTCTTTATAGTGGTCTTTTATTTTAATTGTGGAGGAACTTGGATTTTGGGGTATTTTACAGAGTGACTTTGGGATTTTTTTTATTAGGGATTTTTCAGTTTTCCAATAGGGAACACCAGAATTCATGCTAGGGCGGCCAGTGGCAGGACCCTGCCCACTCAGAGCTGGCACCTTGGACCCAGATGGCTGTGGCTGACCTCCTAGTCAAATGGGGCCAGGAGGACATGCTTTGACAGTATAAAGCAGGCCACCATACCCGGAACATCTTCCAGGCGGTAGTTGCCCAGGTGGCCAGGCAGGGGCACACATAGCAGTAGTGCCACACAGAGGCCAACCCTGCAGCCACAGCCCCCTGGCAGCTGGTCTAGAGGGGCAGATGCCTCATCCCGGTCTGGCAGGTGGCAGCAGGTCACAGCCAGGCAGCAGCCCCCACCGCCAGACTGCTGCAGTGGGTAGAGGGTGCAGGGACCTCTCAGGGCTGCTTCAGCAGTCCAGCTGGCACAAGAGGTAGTGTCCTCAGGTACCAATTGCCTGGGCCCCAGGAGCTCCTGAGAGTGAGTAGCCCTGAGCTACTTGCCAGGGCAGCTTTTTGTACTGCTGGGGCCAGGACAGGGCAGCTTTTTATATTGCTGGGGACAGCACAGGTGCTGGTCCCAGGCTCTAGCTCCCCCTGGCTGGAGGTCCGAGAGGAGCCAGGCAGGGTTATTTTGCCCCAAGTGGCGCAATTTGCTCCTCAACAAAGTGCATGTCCAAGCACGTGCACTGGGGCAAAAAGCCCCGGCTCAGCTTTGCACCACTTTTATTTGTGCTGCTGTAAGCACACATGCTTGCATGTGTGGACGCACCCTAAATGGAGTTTAATATACCTACTGATGGAGAGTCCATAATATCAAACTGGATTTGTAAGCTGTACCAAGACAGATTCCCTGAGAGTCATAAAGCTGAAGAGGAAAGAACACTTTCTTGCCACCTGCATGTATGCTAGAAGTGTTTTTCATAACACTATACCACTAATTTTTATCTCATGCCAATCAGGTCTAAGAATTTTCAGTAGAGATATTCCACATTTAACACTTGGGTGACTGGCAACAAAACTAGAGCTGCTGTCACAAAAAGTAATATTTAAAATGAGAAGTAAAAGTGAATTTTTTCAAACTGAATATTGCATAATTTACTCTTAAAGGGCCCAGTTTAATGAAAGTCAATGAAAATATTCCCCTAACTTCAATAAAAGGTGTACGTCAATATTCAAAATATTTTTATTTCTCCAGTAGATGATGAATGAATTTTTGGAGCATTAAATAGCAAGAAAAGCAATGGAACTGAGCAACTCATGGACTGAAATTTTAGAATGGGCAGACATGGCTTGATTTAAGCATTATTCCCTTTATCTACATAAACATAGACCTGTCTCTTGTGAATTAGCACTACAGAACCTTCTGTTCCAGGCATGCACAGATTACGGTTTGATCATTTTACATCTATATTCTTTAAATCAGACTTGCAAAACTGCCATGAAAAATTATCAGCCTTGCCATAAAGCTACTTACTTACCCTGACCTCCATGTCTGTTAGCAGCAAAAAACCCCTCTACAAAAAGTATTTTACTTGCCTGTCACAAAATGTCATTTGCAACAATTAAGTGAGTAGGTACTATTTTGCAAGATTTTCTAACTACCTGGCGTAAGTCTTTAGTATCCTTTTATTTCCTTTTAATCAATTATTAGTGAGCATGAATGACGTGTGCCCCCAGCGGCTGGGCATGACTGAATTGGCAGTGGCGTGAGCGTGTCAGCAATAGGCGTGGAGGTCCTGCAGACGCTGCTGGTGCCTTCGGTGGTGGTGGGGAGGGGTAAGGGGCGGGTGGTGAGTGCTGACTAGGGGTTGGCGACCACCCACAGGCACTGCCAGGAGTGGCGGCCACGGCCAGCGGTGATCGCAGACCGCCTGCAGACGTGCCTTTTTCTAGGGCATGCACAGCCACGCACAAGGAGCGTGTGTGCACCCGCGTGCACCCCCTACACGTCACCCCTGTTAGTGAGTGATACTAGCCTGTAAGGGTGTGTGAAATGGCCCTATTCAAATCAGATTCAGCCTGAATCAGGGACAGTGATTCAATTAGTTGATTCGTATCACTGTCCCTGATTCAATTTGCCTGAATCCAAATCTGAAGATTCGATGCTGATTCGAAGAATCAGCAATTCAGACAGACGCAGCTTTAAATGTTTTTTCTATATACCGTGTGGTACCAGCATGGCTTGTGAACACTGTGATGCTGGGGTGGAAGGAGCATCCCATAGAAGTGCAGGGGGGCCCCCCACGTGCTCAGTGGTGAACGCAGAAGTGGACCAGAAGTACTTCCAGTCCACTTCTGGGTCCACCAGGGAGTGCACTGGGGAGCCCCACTGCAATCCCCCCAGTTCAATGATCATCTGAGGGGGAACCCCAGGTGCCCCCCCCAGACGCCAGAGGCACCAGTTGTCAAGCTAGGGAGGTACAGGGGGTGCCCCCATGCACTCTCTGGCAGACCCGGACATGGACTGGAAGTGTTTCTGGTCCACTTCCGGGTCTGCTGTCAAGTGTGCTGGGGATCCCCCCTCGCTTCTGTGGGACACTCCATGAGCCCCAGCATCGCAGCATTCACGAGCCACCTGCTACCTAGAGGTATGTAGAAAAAACATTTAAAGCTGTGTCTATGTCCAAATCACCAAAACTTTCTGAATCTCTCCGAATAAATTTGGAGGGTTTCAATTCGATTTGGAAAGCTTAAAGGGTCCTCTGATTTGATTCAGATTTGGAGATTTGGCCACTGAATCGGGCCGAATCTCTGCCGAATTAAATCAGGGACCAAAGCTTTGCACAGCCCTACTAGCCTGATAATCTTGAAGAGTACAATCCACTTTGGGTTTCACATAATGCCAACATTGGTGCTAGCTGCAATGTAGAAAATCTGTCTGTGGGGAACTGAATAGGCTGAAATTCCCCATATTGGTTACAAACATGAAGATATCTGAAAATAACTTTATGTTACTATTGACTTTGACTCCGTGACCTAGAAGTGCAAGATTGTCCATCTAGCTTCAAATCCTACTCTCTCCCACTTTACGTTCCTGTGATGCACATTCCTATTATAATTCTCTTCATTACAATACTGCTTTATCTCCCTTTCTTCAGAAACTATATTTTACAGATATTTGCTGAAGACTTCAGTCATTTGAGTATATCTAATTTTACTTTCTGTTTTGAGAACTCAAAGCTGCTCTCATTCCATTTATGTATAGATCAGCAGTCCCCAAACTCTGACAGATTGTACACCACCAATTTAAAATGATACAGCCTTAAGTACCACCAGCAAATTTTTCAATCAACCTTAAATACCACCAGCAAATTTTTGTCATATGAAGTAATTATAATAAATCTGTTAACGAATACCACTGACAGGCTGTCTGCGTAGCACAGAATGTGGGAACCACTGATACAGATAATACATTTTTACTGCTGACAATTGAATACCGTCTTTATTTTCACTAACCTTGAAGCTCTGAAAACCTGTTGATGTGGTACATTACAAGTTAACACTGCCCAGCTTCTCAGGTACATCAGACCAATCAACTTAAGAACATTGAATGCTGGGAGGCAGGGTGAAAAGAAGGCTCCCATCCTAGAAAAAAGGATGTAATTTCAAATGTCACTAAAATCTATTTTGTTACCATCAAATATATGTGAATAGTTCTAAAATATGGCATGTTATATCGATGTGAAATTGCGGAGGCAGTAATCACACAATTATCTTTTCCCAAGGTTACTGTTGGATATGCCTCGCTTGGTACAGGTAAGTTTAAGATATAAGTAATAAATTAACTTGGTAATTAACTAAGGAGGAAAAAATATAAATATTTCATACCAAATCATTCCTTGATTGTATACCAAATGAAGCACGTTCTCAGCAATTTTGAATTCTCCATATTCTGGCTACAAGAAAGATAAGAGAATGTGAATAAACTGTTTTAAATCTTTCTTCCTATAATGTACCAAACATATTGGACTGTATCTGTTCACCAAAGAGAACATATTCTGAAATATCCACAGTAATATCAATCCTTAGCAAGCAATAAGATGACAGTCAAACCTCCATTCTAGCAGGCAGGGACTCAGGTAAACTAATTGCACTCCACTTCATTCTTAAGTGATCAATGAAGAGTCTGCATATGAGGATCTCCCGTCAAAAGCTGCTCCTCAGCCAACTATTACTCAACATGATCTGTATTTTTAAGGATTGTGTGCTTATATGTACCGTTTCTGGTAGCAGGATGTAACCATAGCCATGGAGGAGAGGAAGTTGTAAGCCACCTACTCCTGGTATTTTCTAAAATTCCATAGTTTAGTCATCTTTGGCTCTGAGATTGATGCATGACCTTATTAAGGGAAAGACGTGGGAGTCTTTAAGTCATTGATCATAGCTCAGAGTGGGTTTGTGGAAACCACTTGATCTTAGTGTTTACTCTGTGCCCTCCAATTTAAATTTGCCTTGCTTAGTACCTTAGGCTTGCTCTAGCCAGGACGTTGCCAAAGAAACTATTGATTGAATCTGAGGCATAAGAGGCAGTTGTAGCTGTACTTTATTTACAGCTTTTACACAAAAATAATACAATAAAATTGACAATAAAATTATATATAACAACGCCATTGTATAATTTATGGGTTTTACTAAAAGCATACAATAAAATGACACATTCTACAAATTAAAAAAACCTATTAAAACAGAATATAGTATATGAAGATACAAAAGATAGATTAAATGAAGCAATATATCAATAGTAAAGTAAAAGTAAAAACAGGGGAATTCTATTTGATTTTGGCCAGTTATAGTCTGTCCCAGTGGCATAATTAGGCCAGGATGACCAGGGCAACTACCTGAGGCACTGTGGGGAGAACGGGAGGGAAGTGAAAAAAAGCAGCTGCTTTTGCTAGCCACGCTGTCATAATCACGAAGCTACCAGAAGTTACCACTACTCATCTGTCTGTCCAATTTATTTCACTTAATTTTTAAAAAATAAAATCCTATACTTACAAATTTGCTTTCTAGATCCCAGCACCAGCAATCACTTAAATATCTGACAAAAAGTCCGCGGAAAAAGTCTATTAACAGAATGCTTGCCACTGTGAAAATCATGTCGATAATTGACAGCTTCAGCATTTCCTGAAAGATAGATTGTGCCAAGTTACTTTCAAAGCAAAGAAATTGTATGACATTCTATACAGTTACTGTTGCATTTGACTTGTTATAACAACCTGAACCAAGTTTTTCAGTTAGTTTTTTTCTGCTTTGATCTTCTTTATCTGTCACTGTCTCAAAGAGAGCAACAGTCAGGTGTCAGTGTTCATTAGGTTGTTTAATACAAACCCAAAGGGGGTTTGGCTTGCCATGCCCAGCCCTGCATCAGATAATGTGCTGTCACAGTGGTTTTTAATGTATTAAAAGTTACCTTGTTAATCAAGAGTTTTTCATGTCTTCTATGATACACAGATGCCTATATTTATCAAATGTGAGTATTTTAATGCATTTGTGATTGGTGCTTAGTGCTTCTTAATACCAAGAAAGTAATCAGATAATGATAAAAGCACTGTGGCCTGAAAAGGACATGTTAGATCTATTTATTTTTTTTAGGAATTGCATGAAAAATGGATATCTAGATTCAAAGACAGTAAAGGTTTAAGACACATATTTCAAATGCAGACTTAAATAAAAAAAATGCACTAGCCCCAAACAAGGCAGGACTATTTTTTTTTTTTAAAGTCAGCCAATTATAAATACCTCACTACAGGAACACCAGCCATCTAAGCCTTTCAAGCATAAGATAGACAGCATCTGTAGCATGACATTGTAAATTGACTGACAATACAAGACACATATTCTCCTCACTTTGAAAGCATGAAGCTCCTGATGATTTCAACACGAGTGAGTGTGAAGAGAATACCAGACTAGGGATCTGCCAACAGATCTAAATGGAAAATTGTGCCAAACCAAGTGAACCAAACTACTGAACAACAATTTGAACCTTTAAAAAGACTTCTTGCTATGAAACAGGGGCTGAACAATGCACAGACCTACTAATATCATGTGTATTTCAGGTATGAAGGCCCTCAGATTGGACATGAGCCATTGATAAACGAAGCCCTAAGAGTCCAAAACACATTGGGACATGCATAGTGGAGTAGGTCACTTTTTTTTTGGTTGTTTCAAATTTCTCTTTGAGCATTTTTATTGCACTTTCAGCCAGAAGAAGGGCTATAGTTTCATAGCTGGTAGGGTCGGAAGGGACCTGAACAGATCATCAAGTCCGCCCCCCTGCCATGGCAGAAAAGAGTACTGGGGTCAAATGACCCTGACGAGGGAAGTGAGCACCACTTCCCTTGGAAGTTGGTTCCAGATCCTAGCCACCCTGACTGTGAAGTAGTGCCTCCTGATATCTAGCCTGAATCTACTTTCAGTCAACTTGTGGCCGTTATTCCTTGTTACTCCCAGTAGTGCTCGGGGGAACAGGGACTCTCCCATTGCCTGCTGTAACTGATATTCAAATCCCAATCCAAATCTCATTTGGGCAATCCACCAACAGCCATCCTCTTGAGACGGTGGGTTTTCTGTAGCCATACACATGAAAACAGAGCACTATCTCTTCCCTCTCCCAGCTAACTTCATTCTTGTGAACTGTCAGGTGTTTGAAAAGAAGAGCGTCTCTGCAGTACATTATCTAATTCTCTTCCAGCTTGCAAGGACACTGTGAATGAGAAGTGCCGAGACATGGTACAATGTGCACATGCACAATCCTGTGATTGGCCTGGGTCTTCATCTTGCATTTGGATCTATCTGGGCTGCTTCTTGGAGTCTGGCTGGAGTCCCACTGAAGTCAACTCCATTCTCTACAGTTCCAGAGGTCTGCCAGTGCAAATTTGAGCCTTCAACTCTTAATGCACATGACATTTGTACAACAACAGATACAGTGCCAAAGTTAATGAAAAACAATATACACATCTGGGACTACATAATAGACTGTGATAAATGACAGAAAATACTTAGAGAAAAATTTCAGATAAAATTTCACATTATCCCTCTCCACACACAATTTTGCATGCTCAGAAGATTGTTTGCCTGAAAAAATTACAAAAATATTAAATCTTGAATACTGTAGCTGTGAAAAAAGTGTTTATTAAGTGTCCATTTTAATCTGTAGTCACCATCACTTATGAAAGTGCAGCCATTCTAGGTTTTCACAGTGGAGGTCTTTCTCTATGGTAGCTTGCTTCAAATCTTTCCCCTTTCTGTCTTGGGTGAAGGGCCCTCCTACAGCCTTTGTGATGACAGGAATTCACCCAAAAATAGCTTCAATGCATGGTCCCAACAAAGGAAACTCAAGTATCATTGAAAGAAAGTCAATGTGAGTATAATGGAATAAGTTCAGTGCTTTGTAAAGAAGCTCATACTCTGTGAGCAGAGTCCAAACTGTTTCATCAGCTTCTGTCCCTTTTTCACATTTTAGGGCACTTTCTTCCATTTAGGTAGCAGCCAACACTTGCATGCACTTCAAGGTGAGTGTAGCCAGACTTTGGGCTTATCTGTGTCCTGAATTCAGGTTTTTGGCCCTCTGTGTCTCTCGTGCAGCAGCACATTCTCTCATAATGTAATCTCCTCTATATGGTCTTCTCCTGCCCCAGTGAGAGGCAAGGTGGCAACAGGAAACCGGGGATGAGGTTTCCTCCTAGCTGTGTAGCTAGACAGGACTTTGGGAGGCCTGGGTGGTGGATAGTCAGACCCTTATCTGTACCCATCCGCTGCACAAAATTGTGATCGGGGCAGAGCTGGCCTCTACTGCAGTTTGTTGAATGGAAAGCTCTACAGCTCAAAATAAAAATATACAAAATTTCACTATGAGATGATTTGTTGCAAAGTTTTCACGCAGTACCAGCTGCAACACGTTCCAGCTACAACATACTCCCAGTCTCCTGGCTATATGATGCTGGGTTTCTCAGCCTAAGACACAAGACTTTAACAATGTGAACAGCTCACGGACCAGATCTTCTAAGTATGAATGCTCAGTGCAGATCCTGGACTAGGGCTGTGGGAGACACCACCTTACCACCACAATGCTCTTCAACCTGGCTGGAGACAAACCATCTTCTAGCACAACCCAGAGCAGCCTAGACAAGATCCAAGAGAAACGCCTCCTTCCTCACGTTACTTTGGGCACAGAGATTCTCTAGGAACTGTTCTTCTATCTGGCCGTTTCCAGATCAGTGCTACTCCCCGTTCTGCTTCCTCTCTTCCTGACCTATTCCCAAATGCCCCCTGTGGCCCTGTATGAATGCTAGCTCCTGTGATAAGGTAGGATCTCTCAAACTGCCATGGGACTGAACAACAAGTATGTGAGGCCTGAAGTTAACATCTTTAAGTAAAAGAGTGAAAAGGATGACAAGGGATTTTCTGCGAGATCCTTTGTATAAGTATTCCAGATCCAGCTAAGTCTCATGTATCCAACAGGGCTCTCAAGATCACACAAGAAATTCCCATGCAGTGTCTCTGCCTGATCATCACCCAGGGCTGCAGGTGTTGCAACTCTGAGGACAAGAAGATTCACTCTTCTCTTCTGTTCTCAATGATTGCTTCCCTGAAGAAGAGAGCCACCATTCTCCCATTTTGCCCCCCACATTTGGGTGTGGAGTTGGGTACAACATCTGGACTTTGAACTCAACATACAGGTTAGGCTCTTCCATAACAAAGGCAAATCATTCTCTCAGCCAAGCTAAAAATGAATCTCTTTCTGTCAAAGCCAATAGGAATTACTTGTTATAGTACTGTGCTATTCACTAAAATTCTGGGTTGTACAAAGACTTTTGAAGGAAATATGGCACCAGACTATTTTTAATCTGGCAGTAGTGAAGCCAAACATTTCATTTGATTTATTTTTCTTTGTAGGAAAGAAGTGAAGAGGGGGGAAGGACTTACTTGACCAACATATGTTTCCCAGCACTGATTTGGATTATTATGAGTGTTATAGGCATAGGAAACTGTCTGGTTAAGTGGTGTGACTGGTGTTGCATAGTTTGGAGTGCGACTGTCTTCCAGACTGAACGTGCTGTTTCTACTGCCATTTATATCAGGGACCATTGTAGACAAGTTTTCTTTGAAAAGTTTTTTGGTGATTAAAGTAGTGGTGGAAGGTATCCAGTAACTTGCACTGCTGTTAGCTTCAAATTCCTGAAAGAATGGAACAGTAGTTTAGTCCATGTGTTTAACAGCTAAGTTTTTAGTTGCAGTCTCTGATTCTACATCTGCAATATTTCACTGGCACCCATTTTAATACACTCAGACATGTACTTTAAATACACAAAGTAAATGGTTGGCCACTCAGTTGCTGGCTTTACATTTACAAATGAGAACAGCCACCGTGTTTTGTAGACACCACATTGATCTGAGCTGAAATGATTTAATCTAAAAATGTAGCTTATGTTGCTAAAATAATTAACCAATGAACTGACCAGCTGTGTCTATCAGCAAGCAAATAATTTTGACTTTCCTACGTACAAAGAGTAGTAAATAGACATCACTACTCATTTTCAAATTGCAATTCCACCATTTTCAACAGGTGCAGTTTGGTTTGTAACAAAGCTTATATCTGATTTTAAATAAGGTACAATAAATACAAGAACTATATCTTTAAAGTTAACAAGTTGTACAACTGATATAACACATAAGAATACTTACAGCAATGCTCATGCTATCCACTTTATCCAACAGAGCAATGATTAAACTGTAAAGGTTCCCCAGATATAAAACAAGAACCCTGATAATGACAAGAATGGTTTTCATGATGATATTGGATATAAATTCTACATTGACTAAAATCAAACCTGAAAATCAGTTCACCCCTCTGCTCCCTTCCCCACACTCCACACTGTTTTCAAACTGATTGTTTGAAAACTGATCGTACCTGGCAAGCTGAAAGCGAAGAGTGGTCCGAGGGTGATACATCTCCAGTGCTGCCACAAGTTCAAATGCAGAGGGTGCAAGCATAGTAATTAGCGAAACAACAACACTCACCTATGGAAAAGACAACGTTCATGCAGTTTTTGAGAAGGTCTTCTTGGGGACTTGTGGAATCCGTTTGTCACTGACTGAAGCCTTGAACAGGCTTTTTTTTTTTTTTTTTTTTAAGGAAAATGTTTTGTCCCCCGGGTCAAACTAGCTAGATCAGGTCCAAATCAGTTTGAATCATCCAAGAACCAGATGTGGCCCTGCTACAGGCAAATATCCTTCACCCAAGCCTAGGGATTCAGATACTTTCAAATCCTTTGGCAGGCATCCTATACATTGCACATACTCAGTGTTGACCACTTGCCTCAGAAAATTCTACTTTTAAGTGTGTTACAGACAAGAGTTGTTATATGCATTTGTGATACAGAGTTACCTATATGGAGTATTGCTAAGGAACATTTCCTGTTCCCCACACACACACACACGCTGAATTTCTAATTTTTATAATTACAAGAAAGACTTTTACATATAAGACTCCCAAAGACAATATCCTGCTCTAATCTTACTGTGTGATTCTCTCCATACCATCTGCTTTTCCTTATCTCAGTTCCCAGTCATAGCTCCTAAAGGGAAACATGCATGGGTCAAAGTCTTAGTTCACATGCATGGGAGGGTGGATGGGGGGCACCAGGGATTGTAAGAGCCAAGTCCCTGTGCGTTGAGAAACTGCCGCAGCTGTATTCTGACAGTGCCCAGTGGGAAACTCTCCCTGATGATGATGATGTCACAGGGGATCCTATGAAACTGTAGTTCCACTCTGATCCCCACCGCGATCTATCACCATATCCTTGACCTATCCCTAAAGCCCCAGTGAATCAGGAGGGTACAAAAAGCACTTCTGAATCCATTCTTCATGGATTGAGGGAGATGCACACTTCCTTCATGGCTCTCCTCTAAGGTTTTGATCCTATAGGTGATCTGCATGTGCTTTGCTTTATTCCCATTAGTAGTCCCACTGATTGGCTAACTGAGGCCTATAGACTCTCTTTAACCACCAAGGGGCAGACAGAAAGGATCTGGCATGATATTACAGATGAACATCAGCAAATCAACAATGAATGGTCATCACCCAAAAGAACTGTGAAGTCCTTGCCAAACACAGAACTCTAACCTGAATGGACAGTCACCGACACTCCACCTGCTTTTAAGAAGAGTAAAAAAGCAGTTGACACACCATACCTCATTTTTTTCCCAGAGTGTCAGTTCCTTTTTGGTACGTTCTAGCTTTTGGGATCGATCCACCACAAAGTAAATAATGTAGATACTCCCAGCGAGGGAAAGCAGCACAAGGATGTTTGCAATAATCCTTAAGGTTATTGTCACTGCCCTGGAAAAAAGTCACACAGCAAAAACTACAGATGGTCTGCCTTGCAGAACCAGCCTTCTCTGAATGTGTAGGCTGCATGTGCTTGCAGTGGCACAAATAGTAGCGGCACAGATTTGTGCCACTACTTTGTGCCACAGTGCGTGCCCCTGCACATGCGCTTTGTTGTGGGACACACTGTCCCACTTCGGGCAAACTGCGCGTGCCCAGCTCTTCCCAGTTCCTAGCATGCTGGAGCGGCAGAGGCACAAATGGAGCAGTAGAGACATTCTAGTCAGCAGCCAGAGTGTCCCATTGGAGGACCAAGCCTCCATTTTTTCTGGCACATGCTATTTTTCCATGCTCTGCTCCGCTTTTTCCCCCTGGGGTTTTTTTTTTTTTTTGCAACTGGGAAATCCTGGTAGCAAATGTTGCCCCTATGCTGCAAATTTGCAGTGGGGGGCATATTTTAGCATTCCACGCATGTGGTTTCTGGCACCACAAACCACATGTGCCTGCCCGTGGGGACACAGCCATAAAGGTTGTAAAACAAGCAAACTGGCACTGTTAACTACATTTGACCAGTGATTTGGAACATATCCCCAGTAAGCTATACATACAGGTTTTTGCTTTTCTTCTTTTCCTGCTCTTCCAAAATAGCTTCCTTGAAAGAAACACAGCATTACCATTTTAGTAGCATACAACAGCAAAATACATCTTTTATATAAAAAACCTATACAGTTAAAAGCAAGCATATATTGCGCCTTTCTAAGAAATCTTGTAGAAGTAGAGGCTCAGGAAAAAAACGTGCATGCGTGTATGTGTGTATTGTGTCCAGTAAAAGATAAGAAATTCTGCTTCTCTCATTAAGTAAAGCAGACAGATACTCTCTTCTGTGCTGCTCCGTTACTTATTGATAATACTGTGTGCTGTGGATTTATGCAGAGAAGAGCATTTTTGGAAAGCAAGGACATATTAATAAATGCTTGTCCTCTCTCTTTCTTGGCACATATTCATTTTCCCTTGCCTGAAATGTTTACGGTTTAGGTCCCAACTCCATGCTAATGTGGACTTGTGCGCTGTCTCACTTGCTTCAACAGAACTGTACCGAGGGGCCCACACTAATCTTAAGATACGATAGGAGCCTTGGATTAGAAACTGTTCAGGGGAAGGACACAATGTGTGTTTTCTGTGAAGCTTGCAGCATAAGCATGTGGGTAATATAAAATAACACAATCACCATCAGTCACACCTAGTGATCGTTTGAGATAAAAATCACACAATTTATTGGTTTGTTCTAGACCTAATATGGAGTCATTTGGACCAAGGGCTTTTAGTGATGACACACACCAAGTTTATGGAACCACTTACTTATGGACAATAAACGAGATGCATTTGTTTTTAAAATCTAAGCAGAAGAGGCTTATGTTTAACTTTGCTTTTATTGTCAATACCCTTGTAAAATGTGTCTGGGCAATTTCTGGTGAACACAAGCATAAAATGAATGCAGATTATTGGGATGTTAAAGGGATCCTGGCTCTAGGCCCTGTGTTAAATCAGGAATGAATTTATCTCCAGGTTTCTAAATACAAGTCACATGTGCGATAGTGGAGATTAAACGGTGCATGATAAAAATATGATGGTGCCACTGGACAACTACAATAAATGAAATGGAAAGAAAAAATGTCACTTGAGAAGGTGATGTGAGCCTCTAATTTATATATCATACCCTTTAACCATAACTGATGTTAAAAACTGGGCACAGAAGAAGTGCATAACACTGCTATATGAAACTGTATGTCACCCCCTTACTAGGCACAATTAGTACCAGAAATTAATATGTGAAGAAAACAGAAAAGAAACAACATGTAATAGAACAGGTGAAAAAAGCAGTCAGCTATTTCACAATTCAATGGACCTAAAACAGCTTTTTTTTTCAGGGACTCGCTACTTACCCTGATGCTATTAACTATGGCAGCTGCTTTGCTTTCTGCAGCCTCAGGATTTCCTATTAAATAGTCCCAAGCGCAGAACACTCTCCAGCAAAAAGTGTAATTTTCATCAGAGGCGCTTGCCAGACTCATTCTGGAGTTCTTTGCCATTCTGGAAAGAGAATAAGAAACTTTCATTTTTATAAATGCTTTACGTAAAATATATTTGTGGTCTCAGTTCACAGTCTGTACATGCCCACAGCACAAAATACCATCAACATTCATAGTAATTGGTATCATTACAGGGAGTTTGAAGTAGAGGGGATAAGAACAGAGTAAGCGGCAGGAGTGAAATTTTATCTCTGCACCTTCCAGGTCACAGCTGAGGCAGTATATAGAAATGTGCAATCTTTATATGTGATGAATATGGCACTTCAGGCTTAAGGACTGACCTTCCTACCCCTTTCACTAGTAAATGGTGTCATAAGTCTCTATGTCACCTTTCCTTTTCCTAGAGGAAAACTGCCTTGTTATCATTGCTTTTATGATCATAAGTCAGTCCGGTAAATCTGTGATGATCCTGCATCAATTTTTCTGTCTAACAAATAGCTGGTTCGAGTCTCAGTGAAGTGATAGGGAATTTGAATGCTTCCTTTAGTTTATTCTTTCTGTCTGGATGATTAGCCCATATCTGTGTACATTACCTATGCCCCATCAATGCAAGCCATTGAAATACAATCAGGTATTATTTCATAGATGTGTTGTATAGCACGTTACTATATGCACCTGGCATGGCTTAATCAAGAGGCTTATATGTTTCACCTAAGAAAAATATTAGAAAGACCATAACAACTGGGCAGAATCAATGCCTTAATGGAGTACTTTTTGTAGGCAAAGAAAAGCAGACCTTGTCTAGAACCCCAAAGTGTAATCACTATGGTGACCAATGACAAAAATACTGGCCACCACTGATCTAAAATAACAGATCAAATGAAAACAAATGAAAAGGGTGTAATCAATTTTGAAGCTGACACAGCTATTATGGATCACCTAATAATCAGCCTGCACTGCAATGTATCAGACACACAGTTATCCTGAAGGGAAAATAAACTGAATGGAGAAAGGATAAAGTGACCTTGCTCCACACTAATTGCTGCACAGTCCTAGATTTATGGTCAGCACTGGCGGGCTCCCTCTGTCCCCTATGCAATTTCCAGTCTTGCCTCCTAAACAGCAAAGGAAATAAAACTGCTTTTGAATGCGATGAATTGTATCAGTTCCAGCAATGTGGAGAATGTTGTTTGTGGCAACATTCGTATCCTCGTTTTGAAAAGGATGGCCGTGGTGCTGTTACTGACTTGCTGGTGGACTACTAGTGGTAGAGAACTGGAATGCAAATAAAGTCCAACCCTATGTTCACTGCACTGGACATGAATACACAGTAGTGTAATAAACATAAATACTAGGGCTGTGTGAAGCTTTGGTCGCAGATTTGATTTGGAGGAGATTTGGCCCGATTCAGCAGATGAATCTCTGAATTCGAATTGAATCAGGAAACCCTTTAATTTCTCTCTGAATTGAATTGGAACCCTCCAAATTGATTTGGAGAGATTCGGAAAGATCCGGCGATTCGGACATAGACACAGCTTTAAATGTTTTTTCTACATACCTCTAGGTAGCAGGTGGCTTGTGAATGCTGAAATGCTGGGGCGGATGGAGCTTGGGGGGCTCCCCATTGTGCTTGGCAGCAGACCTAGAAGTGGACCAGAAGCACTTCCGGTCCACTTCCCGGTCCGCCAGGGAGCGTGAGAGAGACCCTCCCCTGCCCCCCAGCTTGGTGACTGGTGCCTCCTGGGTCTGGGGGGCACCCAGGGCCCCCCCCTCAGCCAATTGCTGGGCCAGGGGTGGCATGGGTGGGGGGGTGTCTCCCGTGTGGTCAGTGGCAGACCCGGAATTGGACCAGAAGTATTTCTACTCCAATTCCAGATTCACTGCTGAGTACGTGCGGCGGGGGGGCTGCGCTCCTGTGGGCCGCTCCATCTTCCCCAGCATCGCAGTGTTCATGAGTCATGCCTAGTACTTTGAGGTATGTAGAAAAATCATTTAAAGCTGTGTCTATGCCTGAATCGCTGATTCTCTGAATCAGCATCGAATCTTCAGATTTGGATGAGGCTGAATCGAATCAGGACAGTGATCCAAATCAATGAATCAAATCACTGTCCCTGATTCGGACCGAATCTGAATCCAAATCAAATATGGCCCATTTTGCATACCCCTAATACATAATCATGAATACAAACATGAATACATAATCTTCACCCCACTCTCTGGGGCTGTGAGCTGTTCCCTTCATTTTATAGAGTGGGAAACTGAAGAGAGAGGTAAAGGATGGTAAGTTCAAGAACAAGTTGGAATCAGAGCTCAGGAGATCTGAACCCCCATTCTGGCCGCAGTCTCTAAGACTAATCTGCTCCTCTGATACCAGAGGTATGAATAAACTACAGGAACTACAGAAATAAACAGAGGGGGAAGGAAATAATATACCAGTTCAGCTGGGTTGAATACATAGCTGTAAGTAAATACCAATAAAAGGGGAACATTACTTCTTTAAGAGAATGATGAAGCTATAAGCAAACACTGCCATTCCAACCAGGAAATAGGCCAGGGGCAGCCGATACCCAGCTTTCCCGATCTTCCTGTCCCGGCCATAGTAGCCATAAAACAAGACAGAGTACTGGAGGTAACCCTGTAAAGACAGCATACAGTGAGGAATTGGCACCAACATCCAGCTTGAAGAATTTACGTTGGTAACACAGTAACAAAGCGTGTGTTGGACTTGCCCCCAGAGACCAGATGGTGTCCAGGTCCTGTGCTGTTGCCAACTGTTCCGTGGGAATGGTCTTGTTGCCGAAGGGTGCTCCCGCCAGGAGCTGGTAAGAAAGGTAACCTCTTTAAAAAACGTATGAAACAAAGGCAATTTTATCACCCTATCTGTACAGCAGAGCCCAAGAAGCTCCAAAGAACTGAGTGCCAGAGTGGTAGCATCATTAATCCTGCTCCTCTCTCAATTTTTTAAAACTAAAAATACAGGGAGAAATTCTGCATCCAGCATCTAGCAAAGCCCTTGGTTGTTGGAGCTTGTATCTCTGAGGGTAGAATTTAACCTGTAGAGTTTAGTTTTTCAGTCCAGGTCTATGGACACATGCCAGAGCTGGGTAAAATGTATCAGCCATATAGTTTATTTACCCAAACTATGAACATTTGGATAGATCTAAACTATCCACTCCTTCATCCTGGGTTATTTCTGCCAAAAGAAGCCCCAGAAAAAAATTGGAGAATACTGTTTTGTTTTTGTATTTTCCACCTGACACATTCTGATTGTTTAAATTTTATAACACCACCTAAGGACTAAATGTATTTGTGCCATCTGAAGCATCAGTGAGAGTTCTGTGTGCCCAGACTGTCTGAATGCCAGGCTCTAACGCTCCAAATATCAGAGTGGGACTTAGTTACAGGGATTAAAGGAGCCATTTCTTTAATTTGCCACCCTCTGCTCCTCCTCCCCCGCCCTCCTGCTCTCCCTCCCAATAAACACATCAGCACTTACTCTCTTGGTAAAATGACATCTGATACATAAGTGGCAGAAAAATACCTAATAGTGCAAATATTGTAAATTTTCCTTAAACTGTATATTAAAAAGCCATCTATACCTTTGAGCATAACATGTCTTTAATTCAGGAAGGGAAATCCTACAATAAGAGCTTTCTAAAGATATTAGATATGTGGTTACCTCTGGTAAGACTACAAATGCTCCTGTCATTATGGTAAGCACAATATTGATTCCAAATAGCCATCTCAGAAAGATGAAGTAGGAGGCAACTCCAGATCCAAAATGACCTTAAGGCACAGAAAAATAGTTATTTCAGCAATGCAGCCTACTAAGAGCCAGTTGACTTATTTATGAAGTGTTATTTGGCAATTAAAAAACAGTAATGATTCCAATTGTGTAATACACATCTTGAGTAGGAAATGTTACATCATAAATGGGATGCTGTATGATAAGCTGAGATACAGTGGTTTAAAAAAATTACCAACAATATTTACAAAGAAAGTGATTATGATCATAGAAATCTTCCTCATTCATGTTATATACACCGTTTTCACTGTCTGTTCTTATGGAAACTTGAACTGAAACATACACACAACTACTAATAGTTACATTTCATCTATTGTTCTAAGGAACCTTTTCATAATTTATCCAAATTATTTTGTTCTGCAAAATATAAGAACATAAGACTTGCTATTTACTAGGTCAGACTGCAGGTCTGATTATTCTAGCATTCTCTCTCTCACAGGGTATAAGCAGACAAATTTTTTTACTGCAGCTCACATTGTGAGCAAACAGACACCCTAGCCCCTTGTCACAGTCCAGGGGTCCAAAAATACCGCTGTGACCAAACGTAGACACAGATAATGATATCTTATAGAGGAGGATGCCTGTTTGCTTACTGCACACTAGGGGTGTGTGAAATGGGCCCTATTTGATTTGGATTCAGATTCAACCCAAATCGGGGACAGTGATTAGTTGATTCGGATCATTGTCCCAATTCGATTCGGCTGAATCCGAATCTGGAGATTTGACGCTGATTCAGAGAATCAGCGATTTGGTCATAGACACAGCTTTAAATGCTTTTTCTACATACCTCAAGGTATGAGGTACAGCTCATGAATGCTGCGATGCTGGGGCGGGTGGAGTGTCTCACGGGAGTGTGGGGAGGCCCCCCATATGATCGGCAATGAACCCGGAAATGAACCGGAAGTATTTCCGGTCCACTTCTGGGTCTGCCGGGGAGTGCACTGGGCCTGCCCCCCCACACACCCTCCCGGTTCAGCGATCAGCCATGGAGGGACCCCGGGTGCTCCCCCAGATCCAGGAGGCACCAGTCACCAAGCCGGGGGGGCGGACACAGGGGGGGCCCCCCAGTGTGCTCTCTGGTGAACCCATAAGTGCTTCTGGTCCACTTCTGGGTCTGCTGCTGAGCATGCTGGGGATCCCCCCATGCTCCTGTGGGACTCTCCATTTGCCCCAGCATCACAGCATTCATGAGCCGCCCGGTACCTCAAGGTATGTAGAAAAAACATTTAAAGCTGTGTCTATGTCCGAATTGCTGAATCTTTCTGAATCTCTCTGAATAGATTCAGTGTTCTGATTCAATTTGGAGAGATTAAAGGGACCTCTAATTCGATTTGGATTCAGAGATTTGGCCACTAAATCGGGCCAAATCTCCACCGAATTGAATCAGGGACTGAAGCTTCACACAGCCCTATTGCACACCTCAGGAACACTCTTAAAGGGGAATTCTCATGGCACCCATATCAGGGCAGTGCATCTGCAAACGGGGGCGGGGGCCTGCCACTTCATGCTGCTGTACCTCAAATCAGTGTAGGAGCGTCCTCTTTCAAATAGGCATCATGGATATACCCTGCAGGAAATGTATATAGCTGTGTATTAGGCCTGTGCGAAATGGCTAGTATTCGGTTCAGATTCGGATTTGGCCGATTCAGGGGACAGTGATTCGATTCAGCAATTCAAATCACTGTCCCAAATCAATTCGGCCAAGTCTGATTCGGAGATTTGGCCACTGCTGAATATGCTGAATCTCTGAATCGGACAGGCCCCATCCCTTGCCCGCTCTCCCAGCCCCATCAATGGCTGCCCTGCCCAGACCCTGCCCTGACCCAGCTCCCGGCCCCTTAAAAAAAAAAAAAAAAAGTCCCTGAGTCACCAGCTCCTGCCAGGCCAGGGGACACACACACACACGATTCCCACTGCCCCCCACTGCCCTGCACTGTGTGGGGGGCTCTGCCAGAAGCCCCCTGACCCACGCCCACTATCCCAGCCGCCCTCCATGGCTGCCCCACCCAGCCCCAGCTCCCAGCTCCTTAAAAAAACAAAACAAAAAACCCCCCTGAACTCCCCAGCTTGTGCCAGGTGGGGAGGGTGATCCCAACTGCCCCCCACTGCCTCGTGCTATGGGAGGACTCTGCCATGAGCCCCCCAGAAGCCCCAAGGCCACTGCAGCAGCCAGTAAGTGGGGGCTTTTTTTTTTTTTTTTTTTAAAGAACCAGGAGCTGGGGCCAGATGGGGCAGCCATGGATGGTTTGGGAGAGTGGGCAGGGGTCAGGGGGCTCATGGCAGAGCCCCCCATGTAGTATGGGGCAGAGGGAGGTAGCGGGGGATTGCCTTCCCATCACCTGGCAGCAGCCAGTGGGTGGGGGATTTTTTTCTTTTCTTTTTTAAAGAGCCGGGAGCTGGGGCCAGGCAGGATAGCCATGGGGTGGGGCTGGGCAAGTGGGCAGGGGGTGGGGGGCATTCAAGGGGCTGGGAGAGCAGGAAGGGTGTGGGGCCCGGTGGGGGTCCCCCCATGGTCCCCTCCCCACTCCTCCAGTCCCCCCTCCCCCGCTCCCTAATTATCAGCATGGAGTCTGGGTCCAGCTCCCTGCAGCAGTGAGTGGAAACTGCCCGAATCTCTGAAGCTCTCCAAATCTTTTCCAAATCAAATCAGAGAGCTTCAAATCAGTTCAGACCTTTTTATTGGTTTCCTGATTCGATTTGGATTCAGAGATTTGGCCGCTGAATCGGGCTGAATCTCCTCTGAATTGGATCAGCACCCGAAGCTTCACACAGCCTTACTGTGCATCTCACTGCCATGTATACTCCTGTGTACTCATTGCTGTGCCACGAGTTGGGTGTGCAACTGCAAGCAGAGGAACCCTATGGTTTCAGGACATGGCAATATAAAGCAGGGGTTTGGCTGCTTACACACACCCCAACCTAGGGTGCAGCAGTCTGATATACACATGGGACCCCTATGGCTTCCTTCACTTGCAAATGAGTGCCCTGGGTCAGGACAGCAGTCCCCAGCAACATAGATAAATACCAGTGAAGCAGATCAGCTGTACCGGGACACGTTAGCATTGCTAATCCTGCTCCAAAGATGATGCGTGTTATCTACTGTGTATACGCACGGTGACAGAGCGCAGGTGCTGAGGGGGAAGAGCCACAGGGCCCATCCAGAATTTTCTAACCCTTGCACCTCTCCCCACTGCAGCTTCCACCAGTCTGGAAGTGTTATGAAATCAGCCCTATACACAAGGTTCATCATAAAATTATTTCCAGATTTTGTTTAAAGTTCAAGATTTTTGACTACCCTTAATAGAAATTATAAAAATCAAAATACCTGCTCTTATGTGGCATGATTAGATCTTAGCTTTCAATAGCTTTTACAATGAAGCAAAAGTTTAACTCTTGGTTCCAAAAGAGCTGATGGGGATTCTTTGAGGTAGGAGAATTTCCCTTACACAGCTGGGTCTAAGCCATCTGCTCCCAGCCCCAGCATAGAAGATACGTTGCGAATGGGCCAGTGATAAATGGATGTATGACTTGATTGGCCAACAGAATTTAGAGCATATTAAAGGCTATTCTAAATCACATCAGAAACTCAATGGCTTGGACTGATGGCTTTGAGCCTGCTTCCGTACTGTATGTCCTGTGCACTGAAAATGTTGATGAGACATTTATTTTGTAACAGACATTGCAATGCAATTTTTATAGCAACACAATTGGCCCCATTTAAATTATAAAACTTACTACACTGTAGTATCACTAAGATTAATACTGAAAACTATTTTGTCTAAGTTAACATGGCAACAACTCTACTTTAATGAACACTGGTGATTTTTTAACAAGGCTACTTTATAGTTCATCAGTTCAAGACATCCAGTTTGGCACAAACCCCTAGCATTTTAGCAGGCAGTGCACTGTTCAGTGCCACTTAGTTTCCATACTTACTTTCAATTTTCTTTATTCTCATTTCCCAAGGAACAAAAATCACCAGAAAATTATATGCAAGCCGAACAAACTTCTTCCAGAGCTAAAGAAGACAGTAAAGAAATAGGAGATTTGTATAAAACAATAACTACCATTAATGTGTCAGAATACTTTGCTTATGCATAGCATCCTTCACCCTGTGCCATAAGGCATGTTATAAACAATAACTAATGACATTTCACTGAATTCTTGTGAGGTAGGTAAGACACAGAAAATGAAGTCACGGTAAGGTTGAAAAACTTATTGTAAATCAGAAAAAATAGGAACAGAACATGGGACTTGTGACTCCTAAGCACATTATAACCACTAAACCACACAGGCACACATATATATGCCAAATTTTGGAAGTTCTTGAAACAAAAATATAACTCTCATCTATTATTCTATTAGTGCATACAGGTAACTGCTACTTACAAAAGATTATAAAATATGTCTTTTCTCATTTAAAGCAGAAATGAATAGCAACATCTGTAATTTTACATATTATTGTAAATTTCCTCCTGTTCAAGCACAATATCAAGTAATTCAGGATAATTTCATAGATCTTTCCTCATGATGCCTGCTTCTGTGTAACAAAAGATGACTGCTATATTTACTATTTCTCTGCATATTTAGTTTAGTATCAGGATGATAATAATATATGTGTACTGTAATAATTATTAAATATAAGTTACGGTAGATCTAGTTACTTGAGGAAAAACTATATGTTACTGAATGGCAATCTGAGCATTAAATTGCACACAGTCTAATTACCAAATTGGAAGCAAGCTCATATTTTAATAAATGCATCATCAATTTCCATGGTCAATGTTAATTATTTTTTACAGTCCTATCAAGGTTTTTATTGCACAAATTGGAAGAATTTTAATTAAGCAAAGAATTAACAGATGCTATGAACTGCACCCAGAGCTGCTACTTTAATTTGAAAGCAAAGTTCATCAGGCTGAGAAAGGGATCAAGCAACTTCTACAGGTAGCACTGTAGGTGCATAAATTATACATGGATGTCAGTGTGAAAAAGCCTGGAGTAGCAGTGATAACAGTTATTATTTCTATCCCTGCATACTGATTACCTGAATAAAAACAAATGATTATTTACATATTTGTAGGCAGGAGCCTGGCTATACCACATAATTAAATGGCAAGCATACATGGAGATTTTCATTTTATTCATGATAGTCTATTTCTTAAATTGGATTTGTTTAATTATCAAAAGAGAATATTATGTCCTGTTTGCCAGCAGTTGATAATTCTTTTTCTATTTGGCTGGCAGATCCTGGATATTGCTAATTAAGCATCTTGCTTTCAATGAATGCTCTTTTCTGATGATACAATGCTTCTACTTTGTCTTTTGACTTGCCAATGTCCCCTCATTCCATATTCTGCTTGGAAAAATCTGTCTAACCTGGTTTTACCAGTTTTAAATATATATAGAGTAGTGAACACCAATTAGTGAGGAGGCCAAACTACCTAACCACACAATGTTATGCTCAAAAGAAATTTACCAAATACTTTAGTTACATATAAGTAACCAAGTCTCCTTGTATGTTGTTCCCAAGGAGAGCTTGGGAACTACATTTCATTAGACTGTTGGACAGTAGGGGTGTGTGAAATGAGACATATTCAATTTGGATTTGGATATGGCCTGAATTGGGGACAGTGATTTGATTTGTTGATTTGGATAACTGTCCCCAATTCAATTAGGCTGAATCCAAATCCGTTCGATACTGATTCGGAGAATCAGAGATTCAGCCATAGACACAGCTTTAAATGTTTTTTCCTATATACCTTGAGGTACCAGGCATGGCTTGTGAATGCTGCAATGCTGGGGTGGATGAAGCATCCCACAGGAGTGTGTGTGTGGGGGGGGCAGGGGCGGCAGGGCCTGTGTGCTTGGCGGCAAACCCAGAAGTGGACCAGAACTACTTCCGGCCCACTTCCTGGTCCACTGCTGAGCACGCTGTTCCCCTGCCCTGTGCACCCCCAGGCTCGGCCATCAGCTGTAGGGGTCCCCAGAGACCCAGGGGGTACCAGTTGCCAAGCTGGGAGGGCATGGGGGGCTCCCCAGCAGACCCAGGAGTACATCGGAAGTGCTTGTGGTCCACTTCCAGGTCTGCTGTTGAGTGCACGGGGAGCCCCTGCGCCTCTGTGGGACACTCCATCTGCCCCAGCATCTCAGCATTCACAAGCTGCCTGGTACCTAGAGGTATGTAGAAAAAAACATTTGAAGCCGTGTCTATATTTGAATCACTGAATCTTTCCGATTCGATTCGGAGAGATTAAAGGGTCTCCTGATTTGATTCAGATTTGGAGATTCGGCCACCAAATCAGGCTGAATCTCTGCCAAATTGAATCAGGGACCGAAGCTTCATCCTATTGGACAGTAAGTATCAGGGACTTAATATAGACAATGATTTCATGGTCCACTACTTGATACTCACTAACCTTCATAGACGATAATGACCCTCCTGAATGATTTTGCTCTTCCATTATTAGATTTTTCCTACCTCTCTCCTACCTGTTGGCTACCTGATAACTTTTCTTATATTCTGTTTTTATTTACATACAGAATTTTATACAAGCTTCTGTTCCATCTGCTACTTAGCTCTTCTGTGTCTGTTTCCATCCCAGAGACCTGAGGAAGGATACCGTGATACTTGAAAGCTTGTCTAAGCTTGTCCAGAGCTTGACTCAACCATGTAGCTGGGTACAATAAAAGACAGCACCCTCAAGAATTCTTGTCTCTGAGTCCAAACTGTAATTTAGCAGATGTTTCATGTCTAAGAATGCTCAAGTTCTTTAGACTGGGAAAATCCTGCTCTACTGAGGCCAATGGCAAAACTCTCATTTCCTTCAACTTGTGCCAACCATGCACGCATACACATGTAGACTGTAGAAGCCCTACATGCTAGCCAGTATTTGTTTGAGAAGGAAAATGTATTCACATTACTGGAATAAGATCCATCCCTCATGCATCAAATTACTCTGCAAAAAAGTAATTACTAAATTCTTAATAGGAAAAGGAAGCTTCTAGCAATTTTTTTCTCCCCATCATTCTTGAACTGGGGATTAGTGTTGCATAGAAAATGTCTACTTCTGTGAAGGAAAATTTCAAATAACTGTTATACAAAAGATCTGTCATTTTAATGAAAAGGAGAAATACCTCAGCACCAGCTGCTTGGTAGCCTCTTGTTCTGGTGAGCCTCCCTTCATACTTCAGCACAATCTCTCTTGCTTGCCTGAAAAGGAAGACAGAGCCTTCATTTCACATAGCCATTCCACATAATATATTCTGGACTCTAGTGACTCCACACAGATGACAGCTAACTAAGGCCATGTGTAGACAAAATGAGGGGCGTGTGCGCACAACACTTTAAAGTGGGTTAAATGCTTTTGCACCGCTGTAATGATATTGGTGTTTGCATGCGTTGGTGGTGTATTGCACAGTAATTCCAGCTGCTGTAGCAAATTCAGTGGTGTAATGCACTTTAATGACTTGGGAGGCAGTAAACTAAAACTCCTCCAAGGAGTTTTAGTTTGCTGCCCTGCAGCCATGGAGCGAAGCACCGGGCTCCATGCAGCTCAGGGGCTCTGCAGGAAGCCCATGCAGGCAGCCTGGCAGCAGCCTGGGCGCCTGTGGGTGGGTGCCACAGGTGGGGAGGGGCTGCCGCTGCCATGCAGGGAAGCACCAGCCCCCCCCCACAGCCCAGGGACCGTTTTGCCTGCCGGCAGCTCGTCCTCCCCTCCCCACCTCCAGAGAGGCAGGTAAGTGGGGGTGTGTATGACACAGGGGTTGAAAGGGCCCTAAATTGAAGTGGTGTTTTTAAAAACCCACTGCTTCAATTTAGGGCCCCCATTTCATCTACACATACCCTAAGTAAAGCGATGTGAAATATTGTTACAAATTTTCTGCCCGTGCCTCAAACCCTTACTCGGGCAAAGTTCCATTTTCTACAAATGAGAGTTGTGCTATCGCATTAAAATCAATGGGAATTTTGCTTGAGAAAGAACTATGAGATCAGATGCCACGAGTGGCCAACAGGAATTTAAGATGATCATTGTAATTAGAAATCCAGATATATTTTTTTTCCTGTGCCATTTTAACTAATTTCCAATTTTTTTCTACAATAACGCCACTTAAATATTCTCATAACATAAAAACCATTAAGTTTATCTGGATACTGGCTCTTGTTCTGAAAGTTCAATCCCAAATATAGGTTCATTAAAACAGCCATTGATTAATAATTGGACAAGGTCTGGTTTGCACATACTTGATGGGAGTCTTACTGACTTCAACAGGAGATATATAGCACTAGCACAGAAGCAGTGCACTTATGCAGCCAAGAAAACAACTCAGGTTTAGCTGCAAGCTACTGAATTGCACTTCATGGACATAAGATGTCTCTCCTTTCCTCCCACAACAAGGCAATGTCTCCCTGAGAAGCAGCAGAACTTCCTAGTCATTTAAATGCCAGATATTAAGAAAAAAAAAGAACTATTATACCACATTTCAAATTTGGGAACATTAATATATTGCTCATGGTTTTAAACTATGTTGTCAGGATAATCCAATATGTCATGCTTTTGCCAGTCTACATGTACCCCTTTCATCCATTAAAAAAATGCTTCTATTCATTTCAATTTATATATAATTTAAAATTAAAGGGTCAAAATCTGTCTTGGCAGCCCCTGAAACATCATTACTTTCAAATATAGCCTTTTGCGTTACATTAATTTTATTCCATAGACCATGAGTTAGGAATGCTGAGTATCTTTGACAGAACACACTGCATATACTATGATACCACAAGAATCCTTCCCAAAAATCTGAAGAGAAGAATTGTTTAAAGATTGAATGTGCCAGATGGCTTAGAAAAAAAATGTTTCAGAAATACCAAATTTGGAAGCCAAGATAAGCTAATGAAGAATGAAGAGTTGTGTGAGACCCCAAGCACTCTGGGCAAGGAAGCGCAGTACAGCTGTCTGCTAGGTAAGGGAAAAGCTACAAGGGGCCGATTCACGGTCCACAGTCCACTTAAGTCAATAGAAAGATTCCCATGGACTTCAATGGATTTTACATCAGGCTCTTAATATGGTGAACTGGTAGGAAGTGATTTTTGAAACTGAAAAGTGGGAAAAATGAAGGGACTTAAAATAAGTGTTTTATGCAACATGAAAATATTTTCATCAGTCTCCTGTAACTGCAGGATCAGTTTCATCCTGTTTCATACAGTGAACACACGCGCAAAAGAGCTGTAATAAAATTCTAGACACTCTAATTTGCAAAGTCCTCATCCTCTAATTCCTACCTCCATCTTGCTCCATGGCCTACTATAAATGATCCCCAAGCAGTTAAATACTTCCTATACTCGTATCTAATTTAGATTAAAAGCTTACAAGGGCTGAAATGACAGTGATAACCACAGGGATCAAAACTTTTAATGAAAACTCTATTACCTGAGTGCCCGTAGTTTCTGTCTCATTGGCCACGGTCTACAACGGATGTTTGCCACAGTCTCCTTCTGGAACTGGATATTCTGGAAGATCTGTTCTGGGTCTTTGCTGTCAACCTTTTCATCACCATTATCATCGTCTGAGTTACTGAGCATGCCAGCACCCCAGGGGGAAACAAACACAAGATAAATTATTCCCATTCAGATCTATGATAGAGAATCGAGATGCATATGAACAGCAGGGGTGTGCTACAAAGACTCATGGGAGCCCCAGGCTGCAATTCCACCACCAAACTGGAGAAAGGATTGCCATGATCATCTTTACTTGGGACTGAGGCATCCTCCCTGCCCAGCTTCTCTTGGATTAGCCAGACAAGAGGTGGATTTTTTCCCTCCAGCTCATAAAAATACTTCTGAAAAGCATTTTATTTTTTTGTCTTGGAATATATCAGCTTGCACCAAGTGTCAGGTTTTTGGAAACATATCCGTACCCACAGTAGGAATTCCAGCTCTTTAGCTCCCCACATCTCACATCATGGAACACTGCGCTGTCCTTTCAACAAACTGTGTATTTTTCAACAAGAACATTTACTGCTAATGTATTAGCCATGTGGCAGTGCTTTCTACTTTACTGGTGATCATGATAAAATGTTGCCTTGTTCAAATAGGGAAACAAAGCACTGGAATACTTTAGCCCTTCAATCTTTTACCAGGCTATGGAGGAAATAATTATGGGATCCTCGGTCACCGAGAGTAGCACATCACTGAAAATGGTTCACATGTCCAGACACTGGTTTCTGCAGCTGATTATCAAATCATCTTTCTCTGGCATTGCTAGTACATGTGTTGTGCTAAGGAGCTCTGCACTCCTTGTTTGAAACATCCTGCATAGTGTAATGGGAGCGGACAGCAGTGTTTGTACGTGTAGGGGAGCGAGCCTGCAACCTGCAGCACTGAGGATTTCTTTTAAGAACGGCAGAAACACAACTGCAAACTTACACAAAACAAAGCCAATAACTAATGATCAAGTTGGCCAGTTTCCTCACTGCATCCCCTTTATGATTGTCAGGAATGACACCCACTAAAACTTCTCTGCAGCTCTGCTCAACAGCAGGACACCTTTGGATTCCCTTGTAACCTGAGATCATCTCACTGGAATTACAGTGGAAATGTATTTGACCCTGTATGGAACATGAGTTGAAAAAAATGTAAAAGAAAAATACACTGAAAGCTTTCCTCTATCTCATATTCCTGCTTATTATTTGTAGACATCAGAGCAGAAAGACTTGAGTCAAGATGCTATGTTTCAGCAAGATCAAGAGAAATTGTTTTTGTGTTTGTATTTTAAGAGGAACAGAAGATGCTCTCTCACCTGTGGGGTGGCTCCTGGTATGTGTAGATGCTGGAGTGCCGCTTCACACTTTTGTACCTCTTGCAGGACTTTGTAGTTTTCATGGTAGCAGATCCACTCATTGTCAGCACAGTGGTGATATCCGTAGCTGCGCTTGCCTTGGTTTGCAGCAGGTGGAATTTAGAAATGCGGGAAGGAAGACTTAGGCTCACAGGAAAAGTATCTTAAGCAGTAAATATGTTATAAACTAGGAAGAGAGAGCACAGAGTGACTCCCTAGTCCTGCTGGAACAGACCACCACTTGCCTGCGTCTGATGCTCCTAACAGTAGGAAAGACCTGAAACCTGGCAACACATGCATAGTCTTAAAGTGGCAGTACACAAGATATAGTACTGTGGCATCCTTGGTGCTTGCTACTGATAAGAAACAGAATCCAGTGTCACATAGTGGGTGGACAGCCTAAATCCAGTTCACAGGTATGAAAACTAATCTCTTAAAGGGCGAGCACCATGTCAGTGCATCACCCCGTGCAACAAAATGCACAGGCCATGTTGTCATGATTTCCACTTCCTCTTCTTGAGATCCTGGGGAAACTGGAGCTTTTAATATTGTCATTGCCTTTCTGGCAGATGCAAACTAACCCAGTTCTCCTATGTGACTTCTGGAGTCCTACATGAGTCTCTGTGTAACACCAGCAAAATGAAAACAGAGTCTGGTCTTTTATAGAGTCCTCCTCTTCTTTTAGATTCCAGACTGCAAAAACCCAGCACAGCACCATACCCGGTAAGGGCAAGAATTGTCCCAGCATGAAAGGCTTTAGTCCATTTGATGGAGACAGCTGAGGGAGGATGATGATGGATGATCAGGTTGCCTGATAAACCTCAGGATGAATTTGCTGGCTGCCTGAAGTAGATGATGCCACCAGGACCAAACATAGGTACATGGCTGCCAGACACTCACTCTCCCCCTGTCAGCATTTCAGGAAAGTTTTGCAGGAAAATCTTCAAATATGGTCCAGATCTGTTCTCACTAGTGGAGAGGGGCATGGTGGTTGAAGGACAGCTGTGTGTGACTTCCCCTGCACACAGAAAGGTGAGTGTGGCTGTGATAGCCCCTGTGCTGCACCAGTGACAGCAGAACAGCTGCACTGACGTTCCCAATGGCAGGGAGGACAGTAGAGTCCATCTCTCCCCACTCTTGCACAAAAATCCACAGGTTTATTTTGTCTATTTGTTAAACTGTAATGATAACATCTCTGATATATCTCTTTCCAATCACTAGAAGTTCATAGTAGGGCTGCGCGAAGCTTCAGTCCCTGATTCAATTCGGCGGAGATTGGGTCTGATTCAGCGGACAAATCTGACTGCAAATTGAATCAGGAGACCCTTTAATCTCTCTGAATTGAATCAGAACCCTCTGAATCGATTTGGAGAGATTTGGAAAGATTTGCCAATTTGAACATAGACACAGTTTAAAATTTTTTCTATATACTTCGAGGTACCAGCATGGCTCATAAATATTGCGATGCTGGGGTGCATGAAGCACCCGGGGGGGGGGGGGGGGGGGGGGCCACGCGGGGGCGGCGGGGGGGGGGGGAGGGGTCCCCAGCGTGCTTGGCAGCAGACTTGGAAGTGGACCTGAATCAGCATCAAATCTTCAGATTCAGATTCGGACGAATTGAATCCGGGACAGTGATACGAATCAACGAATTGAATCACTGTTCCTGATTTGGGCCAAATCTGAATCGACTACGGCCCATTTCACACACCCCTAGTTCATAGCAGCTCAAACCTCGGATACAGTAGTGTTTCTGACACAATGCATAAATTAATAAAATGAGTATAATGGCCTGGTACTATATAAATAATTAAATATATCATAGGAGTATATTATAATCACTGGAACAGTCAGAAGACACAGTCTTCCAGTTCCATCAGCAAAAAATAAGTGCACATATCTGAGGAAAATTCAATGCTAGTGGACTGTACAATGATAAATTACAGCTCCTCCTTACCTTAATTCCACGGGTCAGGGCAGCACGAAGAACCTAAATATAGAGGACTTGTCTGCAATGTCCTTGCTCTGCAGAATTAGAAGTCACTTTCCCCCCAGCACCAAGCACGTAAAAAGGAACACATTATAAAGTTAGATGGCATTTTAAGTGATGTATGGGGACAAATGTAGCACAGACCAACCATGATCTTTTGTAACTAAGAATGTGGGACTTCATAGTTGGCCCTGTCTCCAGATGCTTTGCCTACCACCCTGCCACATCTTCAGTTGATAACACCTGTCAATGACGCCCTCTAACTTTGTTTCCAGAATTCCTGCATTCAGGAATTCAGTCCCCTTCCTCTAAGTGAAACCTACAGTCTTTGCTTTTAGATTTATGATTTAAATTTGTTGCTTAAGCACAGCTTACCAAGAAATCCAATTGGTTCTGTAACGCTGAGCTGTCCTCATTATTTATTGCTCCACAAATCCATGTGCCAGCTTCAAGCTTTACAAGCAACGTTTTTAGATCATTAATAAGGGCATTGATTATAACAGAGAACAACTCTAAAAGTACTGCCTTTTGATGAATATCCTGGATTAACAATTACTTGTTAATCAGTTAGCTAGTTTTTAATATATAATCACAGTGTTACCTTGATTTTATGTATGTTTTATAATGATAATAGAGGGCATGTAAACTTTTTCTCACAGTAGAAAAGATTCCAATTGCACTGAAATAGAAATCAATTTCTTTTTTAAAAACCAGAAAAGCAGAAATATAACATAGCCTTAATGTCACCATGCTATATTTTAATGTTTTCCCAAGGGTGGAAGCTTACTAGGAACAGCCAGTATCACAAAGTTTAACTCTGGGGTGAACTTTTTTTGAAATATTCAGTGACACTCGCATGCAAAAATGTGTTCCAGACTTCCCTATCTGCTTGTGTGCTACAAAACAGATCTCTAGTTTGGTATAATTTTTACTCCTGTTTCCACCGAAGATAATTACAATATTTCCATTCACTTTAATATGAAGAAAATTGGGTCTGTACTTGTAACCCAGTTTAGTCAGGGTTGGGATCACTGACCAAATTTAGATGGTTTTCTCCAATTACTTTTTGCTGTTCCAGCAGCACAAAGGATACAAAAATAAGCTGCATTTCTACAGTGGAGAATCCCCTAGCACAGAGAAGAGTTGCTAAAACCAGCTCTAATGCTACCGCTCAATTAGCTAGATGTTACTAGCAGTGGATTACAGAGCAGGCTACAGGCTAATCCAAACCGTGCTGGCATGAGGACTGGTGAAAAACCAGCCACAGGATAAGAAAATACTAAGTAGATCCCTAATAGCCTTTTCCCACT